TTTCTTGCTTCTGTTACAAATTCCACTGGCTGTAAGCCTTCCAACTTTCTAAATATTCTTTTATATGTGGGTCAGAGTTCTGGGACCATCCCCTGAGCCTATTTGGTCCAGTATTTGTGTTGTTGCTGATGGAGCTCCTCACTGCACTTCAACCCTCTCTTCCATCTTGTTTGTTCTCTTTGTCTGCTTTTTGTGTTACACAATCTCAGCTGAGTAGCTGCCAACAGTAACCATATGGCCTGCAGAGCCCCACGTAATGTCTTTTCTTCACAGAATGTGTGGTCGTCTTTAGTGCCATCTGTGTCACTGCCTGCCAGCTCTGTAAATCTCTGATACTTTCTGGCCTTTCTTCTACTTCCAAAGGACCCTGGTTGTGTGGTGAGTTAAACATTGGTCTACTAACTGAAAATTTGGTAATTTGAACCCACCAGCTGCTCCTGGGGAGAAAGATAAGACTGTCTGCTCCTGTAAAGATGGACAGCGTCAGGAACCCTAGGGAGCAGTAACTCTGTCCTACAGGGTTGCTGTGAGTTGGAATGGACTGAGAGGCAATGATTTGGTTTTGGTGATTTCCTCTTCTAGCCTCAGCATGCCACCCACTGATTCCTCACACAGAAGACCTCCCCTCTGTCCTCTCTGTATGTTTAGTGGGAATGGCTGTGGGGTCTATGCTGACACTAAGTGGAAAACATCTCAGCTGCAGAAATAAATCACCATTATGTAGAAATCCACACACAGAAAAATCATGAAAAGAGTATATAGTCCCTTTCAGTAGGATGTTAGAGTGCCGGCACCTGGTCATATCTCCGTGTCACTGTTTCTGGGGATATAGGGCCCTCAGGCCACAAGCAGCTGGGCCCTGAGTCAAGTGACTGCTGTAGGCTTCTGTTTCCTCACTGACTTCTTATCTGAGGAAACCATCCATCCCGCTGTCTGGCACCAGGAATGCATTTATGTCTTGAACTGTGGCTTCTCCACTGTGACTAGGGGCCTGACACCTGCCTTCAGTATGAGTAAATGAAGTGACTATTTCTGGCGTGGATGTAAGCTTCATGGTCTACTCTTTCCCTCTTGTCCAAAAGGTGGGCTTTAACTACCAGCCCCCACCATCGTTCCTGGGGAGACCTGGCTAAGATGTAGCCCACTGTGTGTATACTGAGCAATACCACAGCTTCTGCCAAGGTGTGCCTGGACCACAAGTTTGACCTCGTGTATGCCAAGTGTGCCTTTGTGCACTGGTATGTGGGAGTAGGCATGGAGGAGAGCGTTCTTGGAGACCGGGGAAGAACTGGCAATGCTGGAGGATTATGAAGAGGTGGGCGTGAACTCCATGGAAGCAGAGGCCGAGGAAAGGGAAGAGTACTAGATGGAAAGCCGCTGCAGGCTTCATCCTACTCTCACGGGCCACCCCCACACCCAGTATGGCTGGTTTCCAGTTATTTAAGATTAAATTTCCTGAATTCACCCATCTGTCTGTCTGCACCTTAAAGTATGGATGGGACCCAAGGGCAGTGGGCCACACACAAGGATCTTGGCTGGCATCTATGCTGCTGCTGTCAGGGGCCGTGAAATCTGATCCCATTTGGTGACCCTATGCACAACAGTAAAATGCTGCTCTGTGCCCTCTGGCCTGAGCCCGCACATCACCATGACACATTTCTCAGAAGCGGGGGAAATGCTCACTATTTCAAATCTAAGGTGTAAAAGCACAGTTTCACTAAGTTCTAAGAAAACCAAGTTACATTTTCATGGAGTTTGTCATTTTTTGGCCGTCTGTGTTGGTAAGACTTGCTGACTAAAGTATAAACAAAGTTGAGATGGAGTGTTGACACCTGGAGGACCTGGAAAGGCTGAGCTGGTGGACTAGCATGAAGAACTATGACCTAATTATTAGCTCATAATGGAGCAGTGCTCTCCCCAACATATTTCAATGAATGCCACCATTACACCTTGTTGTTGTTAAGTGCTGTCGAGTAGGTTCTAATTCATAGCAACCCTATATAGGGTTTCTAAGATTGTAATTTGTTGCAGGAGCAGAGCAGCTGGTAGGCTTAAACTGCCAACCTTGTGGTTTGCAGTCTAGTGCTTATCCTACAGAGCCACCATGCTCCCTCCTCATTATACCTTGTTAAGTGCTGTCAAGTCCGTTCTGACTCATAGCGACCCTAGGTAGGGTTTCTGAGGAGTCACTGGTGGATTCGAACCACTGCCCTTGTAGTTCAAACTAATCTTACAGTCCAGTGCTTCTCCTATGGTGCAACACCAGGACTCCCAGTTACTTATGATTAAAGTTCCTGAATTCACCCATCTGTCTGTCTGCATCCTGAAGTGTGGATGGGATCCAAGGGCCACACACAGGGATCTTGGTTGGCATCTATGCTGCCGCTGTCAAGGGCCCTGAAGTCTGCTCCCATTTGGTGACCTTATGCACACAGAACAAAATACTGCCTTACACCCTCTGGCCTGAGCCTGCACATTACCATGACACATTAAACCTTGGCACCCGGAAAATGATCTTGGTAGGGAGCATATGTTGATGTCTATGGTTGTTGTTGTTGTGAAGTGCCATCGAGTCGGTTCTAACCCATAGCGACCCTGTATAGGGTTTCCGAGGAGCAGCTGGTGAGCTTGAACCTCCGACCTTGCAGTTCAAACAGCTTTGCAGTTTGGCGCATTAACCCACAGCGCCACACCAGGACTCCGATGTCTATGGTATAGTGGATTAAACGTTGGACTGCTAACTACAAAGTCATTGGTTCAAATCCACCAGCCACTTCATGGGAAAAAGATAAGGCTGTGTGCCCCATAAAGATTTAGTCTGAAGATTTACAGTCTCAGAAAACCCAGTTTTACTCTGTCCTATAGGGTTGATCCTCAGACATCCTATAGAAGGGTTGCTATGAGTCATAACCAACTCAACAGCACTTAACAACATAGTTTTGATATGAATTGGCATAGACTTGATGGCGTGAGAGTGGTTTGGGGTTCTTTGGCTGGCCTCTGGTAGTGTAGTGGTTACGAGTTGGGCTGCCAACTGCAAGGTCAGCAGTTCGAAACTACCAGCAGTTCCGTAGGAGAAAGATGAGGCGTTCTGCACCCATAAAGATTTACAGCCTCGGAAACCCTGTGCAGGGTCACTATGAGTCGGAACCGACTCCACGGTACTCAACAACAACAACAAAGACCTAATCTACACCGCAAGGTTGATTTGAACCACAAGGTTGGCAGTTCAAACTCACCAACCACTCCTCAGAAACTCTACACAGGATTGCTATATAGATCGGAACGGACTTGAAAACACTTAACAAAGCCCCAATCTTACTAGCTGCTGCTAAATCGGCTCAATTCACAGTGACCCAATGCTCAACAGAACGAAACACTGTGTGGTCTTAGTTGGGGATCAGACTGTTGTGCTCTCTAGTGTTGGTTGGTTTTCAGGAAATCACCAGGCCTTTCTTCCTAGTCTGTCTTAGTCCGACGCTCCCCTGAAAACTGTTCCGCATCCCAGCAACACACAAGTCTCTAGGTAGACAGGTGGCAGCTGCACATGAGGAGCACTGCTGGGAATTGCACTCAGCTCTCCCGTGTAGGAGGGGAGACTCCTCTACCATTCATCACCACTGTTCCCCGTAGACCTAGTTGTTACGTGCCACTGAGTTGACTGTGACTCACTGTGACTCCTGTCAGCCCTGAAAGTGAGGTCCAGAAAGAGGAAGTCCCTGGTGTCTGACACCAGATGCAGAGCTGCTAACTCTAAACCTTGGTGCCCAGTGGGCTAAGTGTTGGGCTGCTAACTGCAAGATCAACGGTTTGGATCCACAGCTGCTCCTGGGAAGATGAAGCTGCTCTGGTAAAGACTGACTGACAGTCTCAGAAACCCTAGGGAGTTCTACTACTCTGTCAGACAAGGTCACTATTATGAGTCAGGATCAACTTGATGGCAGTGTATCAGGTTTGGTTTGGCTTATGGATCATTATTCAAAAGGTAACCGAAAACAACTTGAATCAGAGTCTCTGTTTTCCAAAAAGGTTTATTAGCAACTGAAGAGAACCACTGGGGACCTCTGCTCTGAGAATGGCAGCGGAAGAGTTGTGTGTGGTGTGGGAGGCACCTGTTTCAGGTGTTGCCCCGAGTGGGGCTCTTCCCAGATCCTCCCGCCTTAGGCAGCCTCGTAGCACTGGGCTGTCTGGGCATCCTCTGGCCAGCTGCTTCTCGGCTACTTCGTTCTGCCAGGGTCGGGGCTCCATTGAGTGAGGTGTTGCCTTTGTTTCTCCCTGAGTGGACACAAACAAAGTCGTTAGGCACCGAGGCCACTCCACAGGTGTAGCATGCCACCCTGCCACACTCCTCCATTATCTGTATCTACAGCAGCTTCCAGCACGTTGATGGGGTGGCCCTGGGAGGAACTAGACATTGCGAGGAGTGGTAGGGAGAGCAGCTTGGGGAGTGGAAGTGTACCTGGCCATTACATACTCAAGTGCTAACATCTCCTACACCTTCACACCAGAGCCACACATCTGGGCTGTTAACCGAGCATCTGTAAACTAATCATCTGTCAGATGTCTGGATTCAGGTTTGGAAGCTCATTTACATATATGAAGGATTCAAAATGTTTGTGGAAAATTGCAGTATCTTTTCTTTTTTCCCCCCACAAACTTTTGGAAGCCCTCTTGAACTTTTCCCCCTCTCTACTTTCACTGATCTTTTCTGTTGTATAAGGATGAGACTATTAGTCTCTTCTCTTTACTCAGAGTTCCATTCTTTTAGTAATTGTTGTTTAGCAGCCATCGGTGCTTCTAAAATGAATTCCAAAGTGCAAATACGAAGGTATTTTTGTATTCCAAGCTCTGTTAAAGAGTCTTTGTGGTATAGTGGGTTAAGCATTGGGCTGCTTAACCACAAGGCAGACAGTTCAAACGCATGAGCCACTCTAAGGAAGAAAGATGAGGCTGTATGCTTCTGTAAAGATATAGAGTTTTGGAAACCTTAAGGAGCAGCTGTACTCTGTCCTATATGGTTGCTACGAGTTGAAATGGACTAGACAGCAGTGGGTTTTTTGTTTTTTTTTAATGTTTTATTGTTTACATGGGGGAACTTCAGTTTTACATTCATTCCATCATATATCATTTACATGGGGGAACTTCAGTTTTACATTCATTCCATCATATATCATTTACATGGGGGAACTTCAGTTTTACATTCATTCCATCATATATCATTTCACTGCCATGGTTCCAATTCCCTCCATGGATCATCAACCACCCAAAGGGTATATTCCAGAAACCTGCCCCCTACACTTCCCCCTCCTCCCCCCAGTTTTCGGCCCACAGTCCCTTTCCCTCTCTGGGTCCAAAGTCCCCACTCGTTTCATCACTCCATGTCATCATCACTGTCTCCATCTCAGGCATCTGTTTCTCTGGGCAGGGTCCCGCCCTCAGCTCTTCTCTGTTGATGTTCCCAGAGGTCTCCGCTCCTATCCTGGAGAATTAATCACTCCCTTCCTTGTTACAAAACTTCTACCTTTGCATTTCCAATCCTCATAATCCGTCCTGATAAGCATTATTCACTACAGTATCACGAGTTACCCATCTGCATCTCCTTTCATCCGCTCCGCCCAGACAGATTGAATAGTACCTACTGGAGCTTCTGCCTTCCGCCATGCTCCCTAGCACCAGGTTCCCTCTTGAAAGCTTGTAAGCCAGTCACTTCTTGCCTTTGTAGTCCCCCCCACCCAATTAGAGTATCCAATGTCCAAGCTGCCCTTCTCCATCCACTCTGTGTGTGGGGATGTGTGTGAATGTTTCTTGCTGTGAGGATTTGTTCCCTCTTTTGAGTCGCTGCTCCATAGGTATAAGTCAAGTTCATCAGACTGTATCAGCTCACTCTTTTTTTTTTCCTTTCTTTCTTTTTCCCCTCTTCTTTCCTCTCCTGGTTGAGCTCCAATCATCCAGTCATCCGGTCCAGGTCACGTGGGTATCATCTGCAAGTGTGGGCGCTCCTGTGCATATGTCCTCTCTTCCCGTCAGCCAGTAGCTCCACTCTCCTCTTCGAGTCCTCCGTGGCCACGCCATTTTTTTTTTTTAAAGCTTGCTTAAGACTGTGTTTCATGGTCAGCTACCTCAGCTCTACTGATTTCACTGAGGGCTCAGTTTGTGACCAGGATGGGCAGGGTCAAGAGGCAGCCCAGTAGTGGCCAGAATTTGAGTATATCACATCTGGATGCCTTTGGTTTGGCTCCAAATTGTTCTTGTTCTCTAGAAAAGTCAGGAGATACATCTCTTCTGCTGTAAGGTACAGGACACATTTGGGCCTCAGGATGTTCTATAAATACACAATGGTCAGGCCTGGATCCCTGCTGAGGCTTGAATGCCTGTGACTCATTCTGACCATGAGACCGCCACACTCAGATAACTGGAGACTGTTGGATGAAGACAGATACATAAGACTGCCGTGCTCAGAACTTACTGACCCGTGGTTTGCCAACTTGGCTTTCCTCTTTGGTCCCTGCTCTTTGGGCTGTGGATGAAGACAGTCAGAAAGACTGTAACCACACTGGGGTTGGAGTGTTACTATAAAGAAGGGGCCTTCCCTGGGCTCAGGGTTTAGACAGCATTGAAGAAACTGCCAGGACCCAGAGTTGGATAAAGCATGCTGGGAGGACCCTAGAGAGGTAAAAGGCTGCTCACATGGGCAGTGTCTCCCTGGGCTGCCCTTCTCCAGGCTCTCTGCTTAGGTCCTGTCGGCTCTAACAGGCCATGTCCCCTGGGCTGACTGCCAGCCTCACCTTGCTGTTTCATAGGCCTAGATATCAAGTGTAATCCAACAGCCTGCCATGGATACAGGAGTCAAATTGTGGAAACCACCCAACTGTCCACCAACAAGTTAATGGATAAACAAAATGTGGCATAAACATGCAATGAGATACTACTCAGCCAGAATGAGAAATGAAGTCCTGATACACACGACAACATGGATGATCCTTGAAAACACAATGCTGCATGGATTATGTCAATACAAAAGGACAATATATAATTCCCCCTCAAGTGAAATATGTAGGATGGGCACATGTAGGACCAAAGTGGTTATCAGGATAGGGAGCAGGCAGATGTTTAGGAAGCTGTATCTTTTTATGATTAATGCAACACTTTGTAATGGACAAGGTGATGGGTGTTCAACAAGGTTCATGGAATTAGCGTCACTGAATTGTACATATGAAAAACTATTGGATTGGCAAAAAAAAAAAAAAATTGAACACAATAAAAACAGCCTGCCAGTCTGATTGGCTACTACAAGAACAAGCAAGTTGTTCACCAGTGAGCCATCAAGGCAAGCAATCAAGTAAGCCCCTTCAGGACAAACTCCCTCCCAAGACTGAAACTCAAAGGAAACACATGAGCAGGCATGTAAGCTTGCTGGTGACCATGTTGGTCTACCGGTGAGTGGAAGTGGGGGAAAAGCAACAATGAAGAGGGTAGGCTGAGTCTGACCAACTTATATAGACTCCCATCCACCTGGAGTATGGTGAGAGTTGGTTGGCCCGAAGTACAATTAGACCTGGGGACTCCTGAGCCCATGGACAAGGACATGGCCACAGAGGGCTAGAGCTGAGAGATAAGCGTCCAGCTGATATGAAGTGAGGGGATATGAACAAGGGTGCCCAAACTTGCAGATAGTTCACATTGGACCTAGCTTCAATGGCTGGATGTTTAGAACCCAACTTCTTGTTGTTGTTGTTATGTGCCGTGGAGTCAGTTTCGATTCATAGAGACCCTGTACAGGGTTTATGAGGCTGTAAATCTTTACAGGAGCAGAAAGCCTCATTTTTCTCCTGTGGAACAGCTGGTAGTTTCTTGACCGTGAGATTAGTAGCCCCCCACTATGCTACCAGAGAACCCAACTAGAGTAAGGAAAAGAGGGGGGAAAAAAACAAGTATAAATTGTTACAATCTGATGGACTTGACCTACACTTATGGATGTTGTTGTTGTTAAGTGCCGTTGAGTCGGTACCGACCCATAGCGACCCTGTACAGGGTTTCCGAGGGTGTAAATCCTTACGGGAGTAGAAAGCCTCATCTTTCTCCCGCGGAGCGGCTGGTAGTTTCGAACCGCTGACCTTAAGGTTCGCAGCCCGATTCGTAACCACTACGCTACCAGATGTAGTAGCTTAAAATACCAACCAAGAGGGAAAGAATCTTTACAGCAAGGATCATTCCCATTTCCTCTGTACACAGGGCTGATAAAGATTGGCAACTTAGACATTGGCTACCTAAAATGGGGGGCTGTCAAGGCACAAAGTGACTGGCTTACAAGTTTTCAAGAGGGAGTTTAAATTTAGAGTGTGCGGGGGAAGGTAGAATCCCAACTGAGTGGTTTTCATCTTGTCTAGACAGGTCTGGTGAAAGGAGATGGGGACAACACTCTCATGATTCAACTGTGAGTAATTGTTATCATGACTAATTACAATTGTCACAACTGTAAAGGTAGACAGATTATAGCAAAAAGGGGGGAGTGGTTGATCTTACAGTCCTAGAGCGGAGGACCCTGGGACCATCAAGGGAGAAGAGTGGGAGTGGAGTGTGGGACCCTACCCAGAGAAGCGGTGATGCCAGAGATGATGACATGGAGAGACGGAGCAGCTGAGGATTCTAGACTCATGGAGGAAGAGGCTTGCAGCATGTGCCCTTTGGCTGTTTTAATGATTATATAGTCCTGAGTGTTTGGGTACACATCCAAAAAAAACCCAGAGGGAATAGAAGTAAATACTGTTGAATGATGAAGCATGCAGGGGATTGTAATCATTACAATGAAACGAATACGACTGTAATCATTGCAATGAAACAAATATGATAGGAAGAGTGTAAAACATGTAAACTATCACTCAATTCACAATAAAAACCTTAAAAAGAACAAAAACAGACTGCAATGCAGTGAATTGTGAAGTCTTGGAGAAAAGATGCAATGAGGTGTCTTGGGGGCCAGTGAGTCATGCCTGTTTCACCGTCACCTTTTTGAGCAAGAGGAGGCCTGTTTGTGACATGCAGACCCTGGTGACTCTTCCTTCAGGCTCATGTTCTGTGGGCTCTAATTTTCTTAACTAGATTCTTCTCGGGATTTGAGTAGGGAGAGAAGATGGCCCTACATTTATGAAAATTTCTTGGGGGAGGGAGGAATCCTGCTGCACAGTGAGATTTAAAAAAAAACCCCACTGCTGTATGTAGTTTATTTCAACTCAGAAGTGGCCCTACAGAATAGAGTAGAACTGCTCTCTAGGGTT